GCATCATCTGTTTGCCGAAAATTCCCTTTGCCCGACACGAACTCAGTACCCGTGCCAGCCCGAACTTCTGTAATCAAAAAAAAAAATTTTTTTTTCCCTTCTTTTCACAAATAATCAAATTTTTTAAACGCGAAATTATAAATTCACAAATTCCAAATATTCCCTTATCACGGTTATTCTCTTATTAAAAAATATTCCAAATATTTCCTTACTAAATATTCCCTTAAAAAAACACCCCTCCCCCCAAATATTCCCTCATTCCACTAACTCACAAAAAAAATATGTACAAATTTAAATTCCCTTATCACAAACTCCTACAGCCTGAAAAGTCGGGACTGCATAAGCTGGTCATTATTTATATGATATTGCTAGAGTAAAATCTTATATAGCACATATGAGGTGAGGTGCCCACCTAGACCGTGATCTAGCAACAGAAAAATGTCCGAGTTGAGATGGTGGTACTTAACATTGGTCAAGGACAACTTCTCTTGGCTTTTTCAGGCGGCAAACTGGTCTCGAAAGCCTTCAAGGAGTTCTGTATTTAGCAGCTCTGTGTTCCCCTTAATCATAGACGGATCTACGACGGATTCCTGAGGACGGGTTGATGGAGGGGGAGGGGGGAGGGGAGCAAGGAGAGTTCCCTTCCAACTTGGAACTATGCAAAAGCTAGGAACTGAGTTGTAACACGGCTACTTAGACAGTTAATTTAGTTTTAGCTTTAGATCCGAGCTTTTGCAGAGCTGGTGCCTGTGCCACTGGGGGCGGGGATGGCAGAAGGCCTATCGCCGCCTCCCCCTCCCCCTACCTCGTGGAAGATTTGCCTATGGCTACAGTCGAACTCAAAAAGGATATTTAGATCCCTCGCAATATTCATTCTCTCACACAGATTATAATCGCTCAGGATTTCACAGAATAATTGAAACCTTCGGGTTTTTGCGTATCTTGGCCGGTTTTTGCTGCCGAAACAACGTATGTAACGTTTTCTGGCCTATCATAATCAACATGTGGAGTGCTACTATAACGAAGATATTGTAATGACGAAGCATCGGCACCACCATGCTCTCGTTCTGAAACCAAATGATCCGTGGAGCCCAGAAATTCTTGCTCGGTTGCACGAAAATCGATGTTGCCATGCGATAAACTTCGTCCTGCAAAACTACTTTCACGTATTTTTTTGCCAATGCTCAACTGCAAGTTTCGCAAAGGAAATAATCTATAACTTAGTCACCGATTCTGCCATCTGTGTTTACAGCTAGTGATGAAACAAGGACAGGCTAGCAAGTCACAGTACATACAGGCTTGCTTTGTTTGGGATATCTAAATGGCACACTTCCAGTGTTTTCATTAATTGCCAAAATTTGATTGTGTTCCTTTCAAAAACGCTGGTGGGCCAATAAAGCCAAACAAACTGCATATGTCAACACATAGATTTCAGGCCCCCGTTCTCTTTCAATCTTTTTGCCAGGAGGATTCATTGTTGTCTGTATCTTTGCGCGAAAATTACTAACCCAGGAATGGGAGAAG